CTCATTAGCTCAATAAGTCTGTATTGGGTTTCCAGACCTCTAAGCCTAATCATGTTGGTGGTGTAAATGGTATTGGTAGACCAGTAGGTGGTGCCATGCCTTCTGGATCTGAATTTCTCAACTAATGTCCCAGAGTAATGACAGGGAACACTGTGTCGTCCTACGACCATAAACCAAGATTCAGGCTACCAGATCATTAAGACTCCCATGTTCTTGAGAGTAGATTGGTCATCATCGAAGTCCTTCCTACATTCAGCTTTGGATCAGTTCAATCCGGTCCTTCCATGTGTGAAGTGTCAAACGTGAGAAAACATTATGAATTGATTATATACAATATTTCTTGATTGACTCCATAATATGAGGCATCTGTTAGTGCGTAAGTGGTCCCCATCGCGGTATTTAGCACCATGAAACTGCCTTGAAAGAAAATATCAATAGCTGCCGTTTACAGTCATGAATTATTTATTTGAAGGAGCTTGCAAGTAGCCTATACAGGAATATCTCCCAGTGGTTCTCTTTTCTATTTCATCCATCCATTTTCAAGAAAGAAATAATACAAAAACGTAAGTAATGGTGTTGGCATCGGTGCCAGTCATGTCACCTCAGCATCTTCCTCAGCAGCAGGGAACTTGCCAGGAGCAGACCTTTGTTAAATAATTACTTCAACACTGTTGTTCACTGCTGCTCACTTTGTTTACTCTTCAAAGAATCACTGCTGCTTCCTTGTTTTCTAAGCCATATTAGCATCTTTTTCACAGAATAATACAACCTTAAATGAACTGTACCCTTTAGAGGCCAACCCCATGACTCTGTCATGGCAAAGTACAAGACAGGCTGTTTTAGTAGTTGGAATTGGGCCAAAGGTGTTCATATTTCACAATTGTAAAGAGCACAAATACAAACTACTGCTTTAGCAAGGTTGTGGAGTGGTTTCAAACTTTCAGCTTTGAAAACAACCGTTATTTAGTGTTTCTCAAGTCAAATTTGAGGATGAAGGGTATTTTACTCCCATGTATCACCATTTTAAATGGTCAGTACACAGACGATAGAAACTATACACACATACGTATTAAGGAGCTTCATCCCTTTTAAAAATGTTACTCCGAAATTAAACTGTAAAATTGAATTTGGAGTGAGACACCTGAAAAAATGCCCTTGTTTCAATATCCTCCTGCAAAAGCGCAATTCAACAAGGAATTCACAGCTGGAGTGTGTTGTTATTTTTGCCTGGGGAAACTTGTGACTCACACTACTGAATTTAAATTAAAATTCAGATTGTTTTAAGATAACATCATTTTTTTTCATCTCAGTCTATAAATTTTTAACTCAAGTAATTTGCATTGAGATGGTGGTGATAAAAGGGATTAAGGATCTGGTGCTTTCTTTACAGTAAAAGGTGAGAACCCTAATTAAAATTGCCTAGCATATACATTCCCATTATATAAACTGCAGTGCAAAAGACACAATGAATAGTTAAAGTATATTATAAGTTTCGATCACCAACAATTTACTAAAAGCCTCCAACAACTTTCTCATCTAAAAACTTTGTTATTAACTCAGCTTAGTTTGTATTTGTACAAGCTTGTCATTTAGCTATATATTGAATATTGAATTATATATGAATATTGAATATTTTGAATTCATGTTGATCAGAACCCCCATAAATTCTATGACAACAGCTCCTGGTAAACTATGCATGAGTAGCCAATTTGAAATAGTGTA